GATGCTTAAAACCAACATGAGCTCAACTTTGCAGCATTGACCTCTTGCCCTTCCAAGAACAAGGCATATTAAAAACTGGTGAAGTAAGCAGTTAAAATTTTTGTTCTTAAAGTCAGCCTAAAATACTGTACAGGGGAATGTGTGGCCTTATTAACAGCCTCAATTAAAAACCTCGGTAATATCTAGTGAAAGCAGTTTAATTCTACATATGAAAAATTTTTATCCATATCAATTCTTCTCCCTGCAGAAGCTCCAACATACTTCCTGTTCTACATTAATTCATGAATATATTAAGTACCAATTTACACTAATAAAACACCTCTGAACAGAACTGACAATTGCGCAAACATACAAACCTAATTAAATGCAGCAGCATTTTACATCAAGACTGCGCTAACAGAGATTACATTGACAAAACGGGAATACTCTTTCAAGACTTGCCTGAAACACCATCAAAATACTGAAGAACCCATCAGTTTCAAAGGGCTAACACAGACAACTTCATGTGAAATCTTTCTTCACATCATCATAATTAAGGCCAAGGGTGCTTCCTCTGGAGACACTGGTACATATATATATGCCAGTTACACCAGCAAGCGTACAACGTATGATAAAGGTTGCCTATAAAGCAACATTCACGTGTACAGCAGGCAAAGAAATAGATTCTGTCATACTGCATTATTCTACCAATGTTTCTAACCACATTTGTTAAGAAGAGATTACAGTCTGAGCACTGCCAGCCTGCAGAAGAGAGATGCAGGAAGCAATACAGCTGCTCCTGTTAACACAGCTTAGGTTTCGGGTCAGGAGTTTTTCCCCCTCAATCTTGACCCAGTCCCTTAAAAATCCCAATTTCAGAACAGAAGTCATTAGGTTTGAAATCAAATAATGTAAAATGGGTATATTTAGGTCATAGAATGATCTAAAATGTCCACAAAGTCACATACAAAATCCAGGAACTTCACTAAATCTCAGTGAAACAAAATATTTAAGTAGGAGAAATCAGCACTCTTCTGGAAGTACAGGTAGTTTTCTTGATCATAAGTGCTCTTTTACAGACCTATAGTTAACAAAAACCTAATTTTGCTGTCATGCTACAAATAGGTCTCACTGTCACAGATGCCACCTGCTAATCTTTAGCAGAACAGTATGATGTAGGTAATACAAGTATAACAGCAGCTTTTGTCAGCAAGTGCACAGCAGAACACAGAAATGCGATAATTTGACAGTATAGGCTTGTGTTCAACCTATATTTGCCTTCATAAGACATTTGGGGGGGTTGCACATGTTTTTGCTTCACTATTTTTTTCTGATGATGATGTGTGTACAGAGGCAAATGAATTAGTTCTCTGGGAAGCTGAACAGTCACCACTCTCTGTAATATGCTATTTTTCATCTTAAAAATATTTTTACTCTCTAACTTATCATCAGTTTGTAAACCACTACTCTTACACGTTAATCCTGCTTTTCCTCCCCCTTATTAAAAAAAAAAAATAAAGAAAAAAAGAAAAAGAGCACTGTTCCAGCTGATGTAATTCAAACAAACAGCAAGAAAGACTACTTCATTCCAGCTTTCCCAGCAGCAATGCTGCTATTACAGAACCACAGAACAGTTGAGGTGGAGAGGACCTCTGGAGGTCATCTGGTCCAACTCCTCTGCTCAAGGAGAGCCACCTATACCGCACTTGCCCAGAATTATGTCCAGATGGGGTTTGAATATCTCAAAAGATGGAAACTCCACAGTCTCTCTGGGCAACCTGCGCCAGTGCTCGGTCACTCTCAGTGAAAAAGTGTTTCCTGATGTTCAGAGGGAACCTCACATATTTCAGTTTGTGCCATTGCCTCTGGTCCTGGCACTGGGCACCACTGAAAAGAGCCTGACTGTCCTCTTTGCATCCTCCCTTCACATATTCATAGGCATTGATGAGATTCCCCTGAGCCTTCTCATCTCCAGGCTGAGCACTCCCAGCTCTCTCAGCCTTTCCTCATCAGTCCCTTAAATCATCTTCCTGACCTTTTCTTGGACTCTGCAGCATGTTCAGATCTCTTGTGTACTGGGGAGCCCAGACCTGGACACAGCACTCCAGGCGTGACCTCACCAGCGCTGAATAAAGGGGCATGATCACCCAGGATACCAATAGCTGCCTTCTTGGCCACAAGGGCACACAGCTGGGTTTATGGTCAACTTAGTGTCCACCAGAACCTGCAGTTCCTTCTCAGCCAAGCTGCTTTCATAGAATCATAGAATGGTTTAGGTTGGAAAGGACCTTGAAGATCATCGAGTTCCAGCCCCCTTGCCATGGGCAGGGACACCTCCCACTAGACCAGGTTGCCCAAGGCCACGTCCAGCCTGGCCTTGAACACCTCCAGCAATGGGGCCTCAACAAACCCTCTGTGCAACCTGTTCCAGTGCCTTATCAACCTTAAAGTGAAAATTTCTTCCTAATGGTTAATCTAAACCTGCCCTCTTCCAGTTTATAGCCATTCCCCCTCGTCCTATCACTACATGCCCTAGTAAAAAGCCCTTCCCCAGCTCTCCTGTAGGCCCCCTTTAGGTGCTGGAAGGAGGCAATAAGATCTTCCCGGAGCCTTCTCTTCTCCAGGCTGAACAGCCCCAACTCTCTCAGCCTCTCCTCATAGGAGAGGTGCTCCAGCCCTCGGATCATCCTTGTGGCTCTCCTCTGGACATGCTCCAGCAGGTCCATGTCTTTCTTATGTTGGGGACTCCAGAGCTGGATGCAGATTTCCAGCCATTCAGCCCCCAGCCTATGCTGGTGCCTGGAATTGGTCCTCCCCAGGGGCAGGGCTTTGCCCTTCCCTTTGAACTACTATTTATTCCACATATATAGCCCAAGTTAGGTAAAATAACAGCTTGACCACACGTCCTATCATTTAGATCTGCAACGATCAGAATAAATTCCAAATGAGAAAAGAGATTTTGTGCCCTCCCAGCCCTCTGCAGTTCCAGAACACCTAATTCAGGGAGACTACACCAACCCAAATTCCTCTTTAACAGCTAAACATTTGCTATGGGACAATTCAGAATAGGTGAGTCAGATGTGGAGGTTTGACAGGCAATTAATTTAAAGGGGAGGCTGAAAAAGAAAATAGCTAGCTTTCGAGGGGGAATGGGGGGAGAAGAAGAAGGAAAAAAAAAAAAAAAAAGCTAGTTTCTTAAGCTGCAGGAACACTGATAGCATCCATGTTTGCAGTTTCCTTTTCCTGACAGATAAATTATTATGAAGGATACAAAAATCAACCGCTTTGTGCTCCGGCAGACCAGCAAAGACAAGTTCACAGGAAGGACTGGTAAACTAAATGATACAAGTTGTGCAATGGCAACTTGGTATTTCCCTCCTGGCACAAGCAGAAAACTCATTCCCTTTATATGCATGATTAATAAGAGTGTCAGCCTACTCTCTTCTATCATGAGTCACGAAACGAGATGCTAATTTCAGAGACCCTACCAAAGCAAGGTTCAGCAATGTACTTGTAATGGAAAGAAGAAGGTGAAGAGTGCGTTACATTTGCTCAAGAAAAAGCATGCTGCACAAACATCCCTCCTCCCAGCCCAAACGCCCTTCATTTCATTTGGGGCTTTCGGTGTGCTAAATGCCTTTCTAATATCCAATAGTGACCATTTGCTCTTAAGAGATAAAGACAGCTTAAGGACAAAATAGAATGAGAAAATAAATAAATGTATATGACTGTATATTACAGTCTCAGTACGGTAATTACAGTATTACGGTATATTACAGTCTCGAGAATCGAAAGGGAAGGAAAGCAAAATCAGGCTGTCGGGCATGTTAAGAAGCAAACTCCAGCCTTCATTCAGAAGTGCCTTCAGTGCAATAAACGAGAGGACCGAAACCACAGGTCGTTGTGCCTAGTCGGCAGCAGCTCTCCC